TGTCTAAACAGGTTCGGTTTGGAGCAAGGGCAATAACTATAGATGCATTAATAGTTTCTAATGAAATATACATGCATTAATAGTTCCAAATGAAATATGCATTAATAGTTTTAAATGAAATATATACACACATTAATCACACATATTGCAAATCCAGTTTTGCATTACACCCCTTGTGTTTCATAAACAACAAACGTCCAGGACATTTTGGCATTGCACCTGAAGTCTTCCGCTACACCATTTGGTCTCAAGAGAATATCTTATTTAATCAAAACTTTTCATGAAAATATTATTGAAAATCTAGTACATTGATATATATGTTAAGGGAGTACTCATATGAAAACTCAATGATCGAATCTACAAAGATTGAATCCAAATAATTTTTTAATACATTAAATATTCGCTAAAGTTTTAGAAGTTGGTTTGGTCAATCATCTTTAAAATCACGCCGTTTGCTAACTTTTGAATTATAACGATGTGGCTACTTTGGGATTAATCAAAATTTTAGCAAATCCTATTTTGCATTACACCCTTTTGTTACAAATAATATCCAACGTTTGGGACTTTTTCTTGCAAGGTACCTAAAGTTATCCGCGATACCATTTGGTGTTTATAGGGAAATATGCTGCTTAGCAAAACCTTTTAAGAAAATATTACTTGTAACCTAGTACAATATTATGTTAAGGAAGTACTCGTCATGAAAAATTTAATGATCAAATCTACACAAATTCAATTGAACAGGTTTTTTAATGTATTAAATAGTAGCTAAAGTTGTAGAAGTTCTATCAGTCCATCTTTAAAGCCGTGTCATAAGCTAACTTTAGAATCATTCCAGTGATGCGGCTACGCAATGCAATACTTAGACACAATTCAATGGGCTACACAGAGTGTATGGAAAGTGGATTGAGATCCCTAGTGACTGTACGATCTCATCCATCTATCTATTGAACATGCATGGTGCTTAGATAGATAACTATAATAGTGTCTGCTATAGTAAATCTAAATTTTTTTCATGTGTAAATTCTACCTCAATTCTCCTTACACTTGGATTCATATTGTATGGACCTAAGGGCCCTCCGAATGGGTATCTATGGCAATTAATATTCTTGAGCCGTAGGATTTTATATTATATGTTGTGAAGAGTTAAAGAAGAAAAAAAGTGAGGTAGTGTCTTGCGTGAGAAGTGGTTTAAACACAAAAACTAAGAAGGTAATATTGCATTGGAGGAGAAAAATGTCCTCAACACATTTTCGAAACAAATATGACCAATAGTGAGAAGTTAGAGAAAATAAAAGGAATGAGAGAATATTTATTGTTACCCCCATTTATAGATATTATGTATTGAGAACATTGTGAATTTTTAGTGGGACCTAGTGTGTGGTGGTAAGTGCTGGTATTTCTTAACGACATTACTAGAAATATAATTCCCAGCTATGGCGCAGAAATACTCCTGGTATATTATGGTTACAGAGTTCATCCGCAACCGCACGGATATACCATTGTAGCATTTCACCCGAGAATATTCCAACGGTATCGTATTTATTTAATCCCGTGGGAAGATCATGGTTGAGAGAACTTGACTAATAATTTATATATTACTTGTAATAATCATAGTCTAAACAGGGGTTAAGATAATTCAAGGGTAGAGTGACAAACAAGCAGGAAGCTACTCATTCTCACATTAAAATATCTAAGCTAAGTGGAAAGAAAAGAGAAAGAGAATCTATTCCTATACTTCTAGTATATATAGTATACATACATCCTAGTTATATGATATACTAGCTAATACCCTCTATCCGATGCCCTCCTGATACTTCGAGAAGCCACCCCTGACTGCCGAGTTCCTTACGACAGTCCGTCATGGCCATACAACCGGGGCTAAATACGAAGGAATACGCTCCCAGGAAATTAACTTAGGACTATATACACGCGCGGAGGAATACCCATACTGAGCTATCATCATCAACGGCCCACCTCTCATCCACAACATATAACCCCAAATAATGATATCCCGTAGTCTAGACACCACGCCTAAACTACCAGATACTACTCTAATATCATCGTCATGACATAGAGTAATTGCATAAACAAACACTATACCCGTACCAAAGCATCTCCCAGATAAGCTAGCAGTATAATCAGTATAACATGAACATAATATAGAGTTAGCTTTCGTATACTCAGAAAGTATTTCAATACCATAAATGTATAAAGAAGAGTATTCTAAATAAAGTACAAAGCTTACAAAAGAGAAGAGAAGAGCTACTAGAGCCATATCCGAACTCTTCCGAAGGCTTCCGGACTCTGATTTCTACTCTATTTCTATTCCAATAGCTTAAGAATACTAAACTAACTTGAGAGAATATGAGAGAGCTCTTGCTTGAGGTGTATGAGTGAAGTGAGAATGCCAACTTCTTTTATAGCCTCCCAATGACGGTTGTGATGGTTGGAATGGTCGGAAATACCCTCCAACCGTCATTGGGGGCTAATCCACACCGTCCAGGTGAAGCCCTGGATCGGATGGCGCTGAGGAGGGTGACTTGTGAACTTTGGCCCAATTCGTCGTGTCAATTCTGAGTTCTTGGCCCATTCACACATGTTGATTTATCGTTTGATTTGATGTCGATTCTCCTTCACTTTATACTTATTCTCTGCAAAAGGTTAGTGAACCAAATACTAGTGGAATATTATTATTCTAATATGTATATGCATTGAAAGCATAACCAGTTCTCCTCTCTTTTGGTAATATTGACGGTCGAAACTGACCGCTAACGACCATCAACAAAACCCCCTAAGATTGAACCTTTGCTCGTCTCGAGTGAAGGACGAAAGGAAACAAAAACTTTCAACTCTAAATTTAAATTTATAAGACAAATTTTGAAAACTTTCAACTCAGATTTAAAACTTTCTTCAAATTGAAAAACTTTCAAGTAATGATTTGAAAACTTTCAACTCAGGTTTGAAACTTTCTGAAATTGAAAAACTTTCAAGTAATGATTTGAAAACTTTCTACTCAAATATTTTTGAAAACAATAGATTAAAAAAAATTGGGGAAAAACCACAAAAAGAGAAAATAATGAAAACGATGAAACAAATAGCAATAAAAAAAGAAAATGTGGGGAGAGCTAGCGCCAGTTGGCGCCCGCCATTTCTATGTGCCAATTAAAACGAGGTGCCAACAAATCGGGCGCCCGATTTTTTTAAAAAAAATCGGGTGCTGTTTCACCAAGTATTTCAAACATGTTTCACCAAATAGATCGAAAATGTTTCAGTATTTTAAAAAGCTGAAACACAACCAAATCACCTCATAAAACATTTTACAACAACGTATGAAACAACGGTTTCTAAATAACCAGATGTTGTTTCACCCTATATAAAAACACGACAAATTTTGTTACAGAAAATCGCAATTGTGTGGTTTTAGCTCAGAGACACTGCGAAAGTGAAGTTTTAGAGAGAATATATCACATAATCATGGATATTTGCCGATGGACAACGCGCCGTTTAAAGGATACTTGTCGTGCTGACGTGGCGGACAGGAGACCATTTTTTGACACGGTCGGATGCAAATACCCCTGCACCACGTCAGCAAAAATAGGCCTCCCGTCAGGCCACTCCCCACCACAGCCAGCTACCTCTTTCCCCTCTCCGCCGCCGCACCAAGCCGTTACCCCGCTCGGCCGCTGCTGCCGCGCGCGAGCACCACCTGCGCACCACTGCCGCTACGCCACCACCCGCCGTCTTCGTCTTGCTCGGGGCCACCACCACGCTGCGAGCGCCACCCCCGCGCGCGGCCAAGCCACCCCGCACAGCGCCTCCACCTCCGCCTCCTATGCTCGGCGCTGCCCCGACACCTCCTCGCTGTGCCAGCCTTTTCTCCCCATCCACTCGATGTTCCCGGGCCGCCTTCAGGCCGCCGCCGTCGCCTCGGCCCGCGTCGTCGCGCACCTGCCGCATCCCGCTCAGGGCACGGCGGCACGCATGCGCGTGGGGAGAAAGGGAAACGAGAGGGAGAGAGATGAGGAGAGATCGAGAGGAGAAGAAATCAAGAGAGAAGAAAAATAAGAGGAGTGGGACACTGTCAAGTGGGCCCCACATAACCTTATTATCTCTCCTCATCCCTTCCAATGCCTCAACGGCAACTGGGCCCCACTGTGGTAAATTTCTATTTAATCCTCCTCTTAACCAACACAACCGCTTTAACGTGGGACCCACTACTCCCTCCTTCATCAACACGGCAAGGCGTAGGGGTATTTACGTCTGACTGTGTCAAAAAAGGCCTCCCATCCGCCATTAGCACGACAAGTATCCTTTAGACGGCATGGTGTCCATCGACAAATATCCACGATTATGGGATGTCTTCCCCCAAAACTACACTTTCATCGTGTCCCTGAGCTAAAACCATATAATTACGATGTCCTGTCGCAAAATTTACCTAAAAAAATATTTCAGCAAATAGCAAAAGAATGTTTCAATTATTAAAAAAAGTGAAACACGGTCAGATAACTAGATGAAATAATCTGGTTTAACGTATGAAAAAACGATTTGAAACTATTGCAACACTACAACCCACGTGTCCACTAAGATGAAATTATTAAACAATATCAAAATTCACAGTAACATTTGATTCATACATAGTCAAACATCGTGAATACACTAGCTGAAACATTGTTGGTAGAACAAATAATAAAACTGATATTTCTAATATGGCGTTTCCGTTATATCCGAACGGCTGTTGCAACGGGGCACGCGTCGGCGCGTGATAGGGACATGTGGTGGGGGCGGCGCGCGCACGGGAGGCGTGGTGTGGGGGCGCCCCGATATTTTTTTGGCGCGCATCGGGCACCCGGCGCTGAGGATTTTCCTAATTAGAAGCGCCCGACTTCTAGTTCTAAGCAAATTCTCAAAAAAAAAAAAAAGTTCTAACAAAAAAAAAAAGTAATATTACTACAAGTATATTACTGTAAATAAAGAAATTGTAAAGTCGGTTCGTGTCCTGCCTCAGAAGCAAATCCGGTAAAAATCGCCGCTCCCCTCCAAACCAAACCAGAAACCCCATTTCAAACCAAAACCCTCCTCGGCGACGAGCTCGAAGCGGCAATGGCGGACGGCGGCGGCTACGACCTCCTCACCGCGCTCCCCGACGACGTCCTCCGCCTCCTCCTCGCCCGCCTCCCCTCCACCGCCGAGGCCGCGCGGACCAGCGTCCTCTCCCGCCGCTGGCGCAGCCTCTGGACCAACCTCCCGCAGCTGCGGTTCGCGGACGTCACCGACCTCGCCCGCGTCGCCGCCGTCCTCCGCCACCACTCCGCCCCGGTCCTCCTCCTGCGCATCGAGAGCAGCGACCCCGCCCCGGAGAAGATCGCCGCCGTCCTCGACCTGGTCGCGCCCCGCCTCCAAGGCAAGCTCCACTTCGACATCATCACGCCGGGGAACCAAAATTCGGCGGCGGGGGCGGCGGGGATCGGGGCCGCGATTCGGATCCCGTGCTTCGAGAAGGCCACGGAGGTCACCATCCGCTTACTACGCGGCATCGGCATCCGGCTGCCACCACCATCCGGCGTCTTCGCGAGGCTCACCGCGCTGAGCTTGAGCCACTGCAGGTTGGACGACCAGAGCCAGCGCGATCTCGGAGGCGCCGTCTCGTCGGAGGGGTGCCCGTCGCTACGAGAGCTCCGTATCCGCGATGCCGATGTGGTGTCCAATCTAGCCATCCGCTCGGAGTCTCTCCGCCTTGTTCAGCTGTCTCGACTGGAAGGGATTCGTCAGCTCACCATTTCTGCTCCTGCGCTTACAGAACTAGATTTGTACGCTTGCTTATTGTGGGGGATGCCAATGGTTGACATCTTTGCTCCAGCGCTGGGGACACTTCGTTGGGTTGATTTTTTCCGTTCGAGTTCAGTCCGATTCAGAGCAATGCCAAACGTCCATACACTTGCTGTCTTTGTCATGGTGTATGGATACGTTTCACACTCTCTGCCACTCCTGCAGTATTTTACGGAAGCCCGCGATGTTCGTCTCTCTCTCGTCTACAGCTCTGTGAGTGCACCTTCTCCCTGTTGTTGCATTACATTGTGATGAAGCTAATGTACTGATAATATTTTTCTAGTTCATAACCATTTACTAGTATCTTAGCATAGGCACATGCCGATTTAAAAGATAAGAGTAAGATATCATTTGTGGGACTCCTAATCAGATGCGAAATAGGAGTATGCAACTTGGAGAGATCTAATGAGTCCATATGGCATGTAGATTTGGAGATAAATGACAGTATTAGCCCAATTTTAATTCCTTAGGGCTTGTTAGGTTAATCCCCATGTGGAAGGCATTGTAGGGGATTAATTTCACATCTCAATAGGTGTGGAATTAATCCCTTCCAATTCCCCTTCAATCCCTTTGGAGGAGGGATTAACTGAACAAGGCCTTGAAGTGTTTACATTGTTTTGCTCAAGCCATAAAGTTGGAGGCCTATGGAGGTTCTTCCTCTGTAGCATTATATTTTTCTCTGATACATTTTTCAATATCATCACTTCCTTAATCCTTGTGCAAAGTCAAAATACACATATTAAGTAATTATATTATGTGAATTTCTGTTAATTTTCAGATCAGCAGTAACGATAAGCTCTTGGTGGAAGCAGTGAAAGATGAGCTCCCTGCCATTGAAATCCTATTTCTGCGGTTATTAACAGAAGGACATACTTTTGGACCTTGAGTATTCCATTTGCTTAGGATGTCTCCCAGTACAAGGGAGCTGAAGCTGCAGTTAGAAGATCACACTGAGGTAATATATAGCTTTTCAATGTAATTAAATACCTTGGTTTCTGGGGAAGTGGTATAAGTATTTGCAATCTAATACACCTCAGCTTGATCCTTTTACTATGAGTTGTAGTACTTGATGTGTCAGTCCCAGTACCGATATTTCCCTCCATGGTTTATCTATTAACACTACAAGTGTTTCCCTTCTTCAGGCTACAGCCTACAATCTACAAGTTTGATTCAACTGTTACCAATGCTGCTTTGGTTTTCTATGATAAAATAGAAATGATTGGAATGTAGCTGCAAATGTTGTTCAGTTGCTGGTGATTGTTATGGGTATATTGTGGATGTAGTAAGATTCATGTCGATGAGACTTCCAACAAACCACACCAAATGATCAAATGAAATTCCGACAAAAAATGTCGTAATCGTAGTCAAAGTATCTGAACTACATTTTCCAATTTTTCTTTTTCTTTCTCCCTTTCTATACAAATTACATCTGGAAGTGATTAGATCTGAAAGACATATTGCTCTTATACGAATAAAAGGTTTGCATGAGAATGATCATATCCATTTTCCTATGTTGTTCCTGACTTCCCTTTTATCTGTATCCTTCCGTAGTATTCTTAATATCGATTTCTTACATGCTCTTCATTTCAGGGTAGAAAAGTTCCTTGCTCATCTGGCTGCATTTGTTACAAGCCCCGTGACTGGGAAACCATGAATTTGAGCTTGGTGTTTCTCCAGAAAGTTGAAATCAACAACTTGAGTGGAGCAGAGTGTCAAATATATTTTGTCAAACGACTGTTGAGATGGACGCCAGTGCTCAAGACGATTACTCTAAGTTTTGATCCTTCAGTAACAGTTAGCGAGGAGCTGTCTAAGGAGCTACTTAGCTTCTCTACCCCAGAGATTTGCATGGAAATTTACTTGCACCGCGATGGAGCTAGGGTGAAGTATAGTGCAGCAAACTAGACCTAGAGATGATTAACTCACGATGAAATGGAGCACAGTAATCACCGAAACCAGGCAATTTCAGGCCTTCCTTTCAGATCAACTAGAGTCAAAGATGTTCGTCTGTCATGATAGAGGATTGTCGTATACTTGGGTATTGTTGACTGCACGCACTAACAACTTGGGCCCCAACGTGTGTTTACATTCTCTGAGGAACGTTTCCAACATGCATTTGGAAGTTTTCTTGCTGCTGGTGAAAATTGTCAGATTGGAATTTTGTTCCATTTAAATGGGAATGCTGTGTTTTCCTTGCAGGAGTATATGATTTGTTCAATTTGCTCCAGGCACCCAGGTCAGTGTTCAATTCTGCCGTGGGAGGGTTATCACAGTTCAGTGTAAGATATCTCAAAAAAAAAAAAAGAAGAGAAGTTCACAGTGTAAGAGCACGTCCACCTCGTTTTTTTTAGCACAGTTGATGTCAATTCCATATAAGCACACCCTCAATATAGCATGATGTCATAAATTCGTTATAGATGCGTTTGCATTTGTTATCAGATACTCCATCCGTTTTACAATGTAAGTCATTCTAGCATTTCCCACATTCATATTGATGTTAATGAATCTAGATATCATCATCGTCTGCGTATCATCATGCTGATGTGAGATGTGCAACCGAAATAGGAGTAGATGAGTTTGAGATGTGCACGCTTGTTGTAAGGGCGTGTGCATTAGTACGAAATCTGTACGGGTGAGCCACCCACATCTAAGCAAACTACTGTGGAATTATGTATATATTTCCACTTATGAGGAATCTACCACCTATGAAAATACAAATTTTATAGGTGGATGTTTGAGATGGCTGTTTGTAGAAATGTCTCTTTCCAGCGGTAAGTTACCGGGAAAAAGAAATAGATGGTGTCGCAATCTATTGTGTCCTTATGCCTCAATGTTATCGAAGTTAAGTGATGCATAAATTAGATGAGCTATATGTTACCTAAAAATTTACCAATAATCGGCCATTCTCACAACTAGGATATATTTAGGATTTATTGAAGATTCGTGCAACTTCTATAATCTTAATTGGAGAATGATTGCCATCGGACGATCGGGCGGGGAGGGGGGGGCAGAAATCGGGCGCTCCCCTGCCTCTATGCACGCGCGCGCTCTCTCCCTAGCCCACCACGTGTCCACTCACACAACTCTATTACAACAAATTACCCACATATTTTGGAAACCTTCTATTAAAGGGAATTTGGTTTATTTTTTGTTCCATAAAAAATGTTTCATCTAGTGCACTCACAATGTTTCACTATGTATAGATCTAATATTGCAACTATGTATAGATTTAATATTGCAGTGAACTGAAATATTCTATTGCAATAAATCACCCAAATATTTTGGAAACCCTCTATTAAAGGAATTTGTTTCATTTTTTGTTCCACCAAAAAATGTTTCACCCTTTGTATTTATAATGTTTCACTATGTATGGATCTAATGTTGCAGTGAACTGAAACATTCTTTTACTATTTGTTGAAACATTGTTTTTATATAAGGTGAAACAACACCCGATTTTAACGATTGAAACATTCTCGATCTACTTAGTGAAACAATTCCGATATACCTGGTGGAATATCGTGCAACATTTTTAAAAAAATCAATAATAAGCTAAAAAATTTCGTTGGAATATATCCTTGTGTGGTCTTGTTTTGAAGATTTAATTGCAACAAATTTAATGGTGCAATCGGATCATGATTTAGATAAATAATTTAAGAGAAAAATTAATTTAAAGTGGTTTTACACATATAGGTGGCGCTGACGTCATGCTGATGTCAGCACCCGATTTTTGGAGATTTGGGTCGGGCGACCGATCCCTAGTCACCTCCATCTTAATTACGTCTCTTTTCTCACCTCTCAAATTCACACCTTGCAAACCACTACTCCCTTCGTCCAAAAAAAAGGCAACCTAGTACTAGGATGTGACACAACGAATCTAGACATAAAGTATGTCCAGATTCATTGTATTAGGATGTGTCACGTCGTAGTACGAGATTAAGTTTTTTTTAGGACAGGGGGAGTACACAACTATGATCCCTATGCTTGCGTGCCACTACATGCAGGGGGATCCTAATGGGCGATCGATCCTCCCCCCTCCCTCCCTCCACTTGGTTTCCTTTTTTGGCACCGCATTACTTTTCTATTTTAGTAAATTTATGCATCTAAAGTTTATACATCTCAAGTTTACACATATAAAGTTTAGAGACTCAAAGTTTATAAGTAAAAAGTTTATATATCCGATTCAAATTTAAATTTGAATTCAAATTTTTTTATATATATAGTATTTCTATACATCTAAAGTTTATACACCTAAAGTTTATACACCCAAAGTTTATAAGTCAAAAGTTTACATACCCGTTTCAAATTTGAATTTGAATTATATCTGATTCAAATTTGAATTTGAATTCAAATATTTTCTATATATAGTATTTTTATGCATCTAAAGTTTATACACCTAAAGTTTATAGACCTAAAGTTTATAAGGCAAAAGTTTACATACCCGATTCAAATTTGAATTTGAATTCAAAAATTTTCTATATATAGTATTTCTATACATCTAAAGTTTATACACCTAAAGTTTATAGACCCAAAGTTTATAAGCCAAAGGTTTACATAGCCTATTCAAATTTGAATTTGAATTCAAATTTTTTATATATAGTATTTTTATACATAAATTTTTCTAACTTTATGTTTTTTTTAAAAAAAATTGTGTGTAGTACTGTAGTAGGGGAGGAGTGTATGTAGTAGTATAGGGGAGAGGGCGGGCGGGTGATCGCTGGGCGGGCGGGGGAGCGATCACCCGCCCATTAGCATTTCCGCTGCATGTGCCCCTGTCTTCTCACTAGCCTTGGTGAGGGCCACCAACGACACCCTTCTCACGTATTCCCTCCCTTTTCTTCACCTCCCCTATCTACCAACTCGCAACAGCTCCACCAAAAATGTCATTGTTGTCTTGTCGATATTTGGCGTGATTACCCCACCCGTCTAACCTCCTCTATATCTCCAGCGGTGTGAGCCACCAAATCAACCAGCGCCATCCTCACCCTCACCTCCTAACCACATGGCCTCCCTTGCCCTTGCCACCGATCCTTGCCTACCCAATCAGGCTCCTCTGCATGGAGAAAGAAAATTCAAAGAATCTTAGAGTACATGTGCATTAAACAAGTTTTTGCCATTGGATCTTCATCAAAAGACAAAACGATATGCTAGAGTGACCTTGAATAGTACTTCCTCCATTTACTTTTGATAGTCATATTTCCAAATCTGAAAAAATTATTTTTGATAGGCATATTTCAATCCAACAACCTATCATCTTAATGACTTTCTCGGATTTAATGCATGACTCTCCATTCTTCCACACATGATTGGCTGCATGGGCATTGAGAAATGTAAATATTAATGAATCGCTTGTTTACGAGGAATGACTAGTAGCATATTTAAATGGATGATAAGTAGGATTAGTTATCCTTGGTCTATGTACCAAGATGAAATATGACTATCAAAAGTAGATGGAGGGAGTAATAGATTAACAATACTTTGCAAAACAGTAAAATTTGGCAATGTGTAAATAGTACTCCCTCCATCTACTTTTGATAGTCATATTTCGTCTTGGCACACAGACCAACGATAAGTGATTCTACTTATCATCCATTTAAACATGCTACTAGTTATTCCTCGTAAACAAGCGATTCATTATATCATTAATATTAAATTTCTCGATGCCCATGTAGCCAATCTTGTGTGGAAGAATGGAGAGTCATGCATTAAATCCAAGAAAGCCATTAAAATAATAAATTGTTGGATTGAAATATGCCTATTAAAAATAAATTTTTCAGATTTGGAAATATGACTATCAAAAATAGATGGAGGGAGTATTTTGTTACTGTCCTACCACATTTCATTGTAACAGCAAACTCAGCTCACAGGTGACACAGAGAGGCATTTAATGTAGCAGCAAACTAATATATACTATTGACACAATGAGCCTATCTGTATTACAGCGAAGGATGCACATCCTACCCACCTCCTTGGTCATCCTACTAAATCCTATCCCACGCAAAAAAAAAAATCAATCTGATCTCGCAAAAACATGTTAGTGTTCAAATGAAAAATAAATCTCCCGGCATTATATGGTTTATAGTTGTGTCACTATATGGTAAGCCATGCAATCTCTTTTCGTTCGAAGCATGGACTGATCTAGTGTGGGTGTTGGAGGGACTCGACTCAAGTCCCCCTATCCCGTTGGATCGCTATTGATAAAAGGAGAAAGAGAAGGGAAAAGAGGGAGAGGAAGAGAAGGGGACAGAAGGAGAAAGAAAGAGATGAGTTCCACTCTAATATTTTTCCTCCGGTTTGGAGGTGGTCTCAATAAGACCCTGTTTAGTTCCAAAAACTTTTCGTAAAAACATCACATTGAATCTTTACACATGTATAGAGCATTAAATATAGATAAAAAGAAAAACTAATTGTACAGTTAGGAGGGGAAATCACGAGACGAATCTTTTGAGCCTAATTAGTCTATGATTAGCCATAAGTGCTACAGTAACCCACATGTGCTAATGACGGCTTAATTAGGCTCAAATAATTCGTCTCGTGGTTTCCAATCGAGTTATGAAATTATTTTTCCATTCGTGTCCGAAAACCCCTTCCAACATCCGGTTAAACGTCCAATGTGACATCAAAAAATTTTCATTTCACCAACTAAACAGGCCATAAGGAAACACGGAAAGAGTGATTATGAGTCATTGTTACGAAGAATCTAGCATTGCCAGTGATTACGAGTCCTTGTAATTCTTTTCCCTCAGGACATTTAATCCAATTGTGTTTATTAATTGAGTGAGATTTGGGGTATTCAGTCGACTGGCAACTCTTCAACCTCAAAATCATATTCGGTGGAAAAAAAATATCCAACCAAACCAGAAATCCCATTTCCAAAACCCTCGTCGACGTCGCCTCGGGGAGCGCCAACGCCGACGCCGTCGCCGCGGCCGCGCCAAGAGCCACCGCCCCAACTCCGGCGAAGATGGATGCGAAGGTGGACGAGATGAGCAAGGCGTACCAGGAGCTCGTCGCGGCAGCGCAGGCCATCCTGGAGGCGCGGCGGCAGCCGGGCGGAGAGAACACGGCGGCCATGGACGCAGCGCGCGAGGCGTTCGAGCAGCGCCGGAAGCTCTTCGCCGTCGCCTGCGACGACGCCGACGCGCTCGTCCAGTCGGCTCGCCAGAGTATCGTCTCCGACCCCGGGCGCTTCGTCGACGTGGTGACCACCCCCGACGAGGATTCGGTGCGCTCTCCGACGAGGTCCTCCGCGGAATCCTCCTCGTCGAGCGGATTCGGTGCGCTCCCCGACGAGGTGCTCCGCCACATCCTCCTCCGCCTCCCCTCCGCCGCCGCCGCCGCGCGGACCAGCCTCATCTCCCGCCGCTGGCGAAACCTCTGGTCCACCCTCCTCCCGAAGCTGCGGTTCCCCGGCGTCACTGACCTCGCCCGCGTCGGCGCCGCCCTCCGCCTCCGCGTCGCCCCGGTCCGCCTCCTGCGCATCGAGAGCAGCGACCGCGCCCCGGATAAGATCGTCGCCGTCCTCCACTTGGCCGCGCCCCTCCTCGAGGGCAAGCTCTGCTTCGACGTCATCACGCCGGCGGCAGCGGCAGCGGGGGCGGCCGGGACCGGGGGCGCGATTCAGATCCCGTGCTTCGAGAAGGCCACGGAGATCACCATCCGCTTGCGCGGCCGCCTCGGCATCCAGCTGCCACCATCCGGCGTCTTCGCGAGGCTCACCGCGCTGAGCTTGAGCCACTGCAGGTTCGACGACCAGGGCCAGCGCGATCTCGGGGACGCCGTCTCGTCGGAGGGGTGCCCGTCGCTACGAGAGCTCCGTATCCGCGATGCCGATGTGGTGTCCAATCTAGCCATCCGCTCGGAGTCTCTCCGCCTTGTTCAGCTGTCTCGACTGGAAGGGATTCGTCAGCTCACCATTTCTGCTCCTGCGCTTACAGAACTAGATTTGTACGCTTGCTTATTGTGGGGGATGCCAATGGTTGACATCTTTGCTCCAGCACTGGAGACACTTCATTGGGTTGATTTTTTCAGTTCGAGTTCAGTCCGATTTGTTGAGAAGCCCAACGTCCATAGACTCTCCGTCTATGGCATGGTGTATGGACGTCGAAATACTCCAGGCTCTCTGCAACTCGTGCAGCATTTTACAGAAGCCCGCGATGTTCATCTATCTCTTGTCTATCCCTCTGTGAGTGCACCTTCTCCCTCTTGTTGCATTACATTATTATTATGATGAAGCTAATGTACTTACAATGTTTTTGTAGCTCATAACCATTTACTAGTATCTTAGCATAGGCTCATGCCCATTTAAAAGATAAAAGTAAGATAATATTTATGGGACTCCTAATCAGATGCGAAATATGTAACTAGGGGAGATCCAAAGAGTCCCTATGGCATGTAGATTTGGACGTAAGTGATTATGTAATGCAGAGGCACATTATTAAAGCAATTTTCCTTAGGGGTTGTTAGGTACTTAGGTTAATCCCCATGAGGAAAGCATTGGAGCGGATTAATTCCACATCTCAATAGTTGGAATTAATCCCCCCCAATTCCCCTTCAATCCCTTTGGAAGAGGGATTAACCGAACAAGGCCTTGAAGTGTTTACATTGTTTTGTCCAAGCCATAAAGTTGGAGGCTTCTGGAAGTTTTTCCTCTGTAGCATTATATTTTTCTCTGATACATTTCTCAATGTCATCACTTCCTTAATCCTTGTGTAAAGTCAAAATGCACATATTAAGTAATTATATTTTGTGAATTTCTGTTAATTTTCAGATCATGGATATGTCCTGTGAGCTCCTGGTGCAAGCAGTGAAAAAGCTCCCTGCCGTTGAAATCCTATCTCTGCGGTTATTAACAATAGGACATACCTTTGGACCTTGTGTTTACCATTTGCTTAAGATGTCTACTGGTATAAGGGAGCTGAAGCTGAAGTTAGAAGATCACATTGCGGTAATGTATACCTCTTCAATGTAATCAAATACCATGGTCTCTGTGAAAGTGGTAGAAGTATTTGCAATTTAATGCACCTCAGCTTGATCTTTTTACTATGAGTGGTACTGTGGTAGCACTTGATGTGTCAGTCCCAGTACCGATCTGTCCCTCCATGGTTTATCTATTAAAACTACAAGTCTTTCCCCTCTTCATACTACGATCTAAAAGTTTGATCCAAGTGTTGCCATGCTGCTTTGGTTTTCAATGATAAAATAGAAATGATTGGAATGTCGCTGCAAATGTTCAGTTGCTGGTGATTGATATGGGTATGTTGTGGTCGTAGTAGATTCATGTCAATGAGACTTCCAACGAACCATGCCAAATGATCAATTGAAATTCCGACAAAAAATATTGTAATTGTAGTCAAAGTGTCTGCTACATTTTCCAATTTTCTTTTCTTTCCCCCTTTCTCCACACATCACATCTGGAGGTGATTAGATCTAAAAGATATTGCTCTTATATGAATAAAAGCTTTTAATGAGAATGATCATTTTCATTTCCCTATATTTTCCTGACTTCCTTTTATCTGTGTCCTTTCGTAATATTCTTAAAATCAATTTCTTACATGCTTTTCATTTCAGGATGGAGAAGTTCCTTGCTCATCTGGCTGCGTTTGTTACGAGCCCCAGGCCTGGAAAAAGAATAATATCAGCTTGAATTTTCTCCAGAAAGTTGAAATCAACAATTTGAGTGGAGCAGAGCGTCAAATATATTTTGTCAAACGACTGTTGAGATGGACGATGCCAGAGCTCAAGACGATTACTCTAAGTTTTGATCCTTTGGTTACTGTCAGCGAGAAGGTGTCTAGGAAGCTACTTAGCTTCTCTACCCCAGGGATTTGCATGGAAATTTACTTGCACCGCAATGGAACTAGGGTAAAGTATAGTGCAGCGAACTAGACCTAGAGGTGATTAACTGACGATGAAATGGAGCACAGTAATCACTGAAACCAGGCAAATTCGGGCCTTCCTTTCAGATCAACTAGGGTTAAGGATGTCCGTCTGTCATGATACAGGATTGTCGTATACTTGGTTATGGTTGATTGCACGACTCACAACTTGCGCCTTAATGTGTGTTTACATGCTCTGAGGAAAGTTTTCATCCTGCTGGTGAAAATTGTCTGATCGAAAGTTTGTTCCATTTAAATGTGAATGCTGCCTGACCGAAAGGTTCAAATATCTAGTTTCCAATCTCTAATTTTCTCTCATAGCAAGGTAAGTATTGCTTGTGCTGTATCTGTGTTTTCTTTGCAGAAGCATATGACTTGTTCATTCTGCTCCAGGCACTAGCTAGTTCACTGTTCAATACTGCTGTCGGAGGATTATATCAGTTATCATAGTGTGAAGAGCTCGTCCACCTGGGTTTTGAACACAGTCGATGTCTGATTGTTCCAACTCCATATATGCATACACCATCAATATAGCATACTGTCATATCGATGTGTTTGTGTTTGTTATCAGATAACTTCCATGTACTCATCATCTATATGACACTATTATGTGTTTCAGTTTGAAGATAGACGTGAATGATGTGATGACAAGGGCCATCATCTTTGTTTTCACATCATGCCGTTGTCGGCTTGTGGTTTCAGCCTGGTGACCCGCCTTCAATTCTCCTATACGCTGAATTTATTGTTAACTTGTTACAGAGTTCCTTCTTGGTTGTCCCATGCTTTTTATACAACCTTTGTTCCAAAATATAGCAACCTAGGATGGGATAGGTTCTGTCCGGATTTGTTGTAATGTAGTGTCGCATGCATCTGGTTCAGGTTCAGGTGATATTATGGAATGGATAGAGTATGTGAGTTTGATTATGCATTTTTGTGCAGTAGACTGTGGGAGAGTCATCGCCGTCTTCATCGCCACAGATGGATCTCCTCCAGTGTTCTGTCTGCTGCTTTCCTTCTCGACGATGTTCACCCATCAGAGCACCAACATGGTGATATATACAGTGTTGTTCGAGATCGATTAAGATGTAGACGAAGTTAGGCGCGAAAAGTGAAAAAGGCATTAGAGTATGATTAATCTATCTATCTATTATCTATCTATCTTCTATCTATCTATTATATACTAAAAGTCCATTAATCTATCTATAAACGCTCCTAAGCCGTCATGTGGCGCTCCTACAAGCACTCCTAAGTTGCCACGTGGCATTTTATAATCTCACCGTCGATTTTCATTTAAATTAGTGGACCCGTTATTTTAGACCGTTCGATCAGATCTATTTAAAATTTAAATATTTATGCTTCCCGTCTATAAACAGAATCCGTTTACTTAAAAAAGAATACGCATATCGAAAAGCGTACATGGAAAAAAGTATACCTTTACGTACTGTTCATTTTTGGGAAAAAGAACAACACGTACGTATCATTTACCGGAATAACATACCATGGAAAAGACGTTTACCCAACTGTTCATTTGAAAAACAGGACGTACGTACGGTAAAAAATGAAAAATATATGTACATGCTAGAACTGTCGTGGAAAAATAGACGATCATTTTAAAGGATTTTCTATACTAACAAAATTAAATTTATTAGTCCACAAATATGGTCACATGGCACTTCTACGAACACTTTTATACTTTTATACCGTCATATGGTACTATGTAATCTTACCATCGATTTTCATTTAAATTGATAGACCCATTATGAACCATAGGTGATGAAAACAAACTAGACGCTAAAGTATAGATCTTTATCAAAACATAAACAATGATACAATACTCTGAAAATTCTCACGGTCATATATATATATTTTTCAATGATCAAAGTATTGTATTTATACTGTATAAAAATTTAAAAATTTAAGTAGTACTGATTAACACTATAAATAAATTGTGTCTACACAAAAACGTCAAAAATTCTATTTTTATGAAAAGAATTATTTTTTATCGCATCCATATTCTCTTTCTTTCCTGAAAGGCATCGTGCAGTTAACATAAGTATAGGAGAGATATACACATGGTTGAGTTGAGGCAGACCAACTAGAGGCCACCGTTGATAATAGTACTCAACTTCCTACTTACTAATGAAATCATCTTTGAGGGTGCTGATAGTGAAATAGGAGTTATATGATCCACGCTGGCTTTGAGAGGCATGAGTACGCCGCTATGAAATCCATGTTTGAAGGCAACAGAAAAATAAATCCTTGGTAGCTCTAGCGGGGATATTCATGTCTAATTTTTAACAGTATTATCTTTTTAACGTAGTATTTTTAGAATATTCATTTATATATTTAGAAATAAGAGTTTTGACATAAATATTTAGGTATGTATGTAGTGGAGATTAACGTTTTACGTACTAACAATGCATTAATTATGTATTAGGCTTATTTTGGTGATACAGTTGTAATTCCATTATTAAAAAGACATCTAGCAACAATGATAATTAGTAATTTTGACAATAGGTAATTTTACGTGTAATCTAAAAAAAGTGATTTTTATTTGAATATAAGAAACATTCTTATCGTTTATTAAAGTCTACGGTCTATTTCACGACATATAATATTTTAGTTATAATGCGAAATCTATAATTTCTTATATGCATATAGTGATATACGACTTAATTCTATTAACATTATTTCTATCAACAATAAATAAGGTGTCCGCGCATATGCGCGGGCTTCCTTTCTAGTTATATACTAAAAGTTCATTAAACTTCCTATAAACGCTCCTAAACCACCAAGTGGCACCCTATAAACACTCTCAAGTCACCAAGTGGCACCTTAATAAATGAGAGAAATCTGACCATCTATTTTTACTTAAATTGGTGGACCTATTATTCTGGATGGTTAGATCTATTTTGTAAATAAAAAAAAAAAAGGAACCAACAGGCGGAACAAACGGGGGAGCCCTAATGGGCGATCAGTCGCGCTCCATGCGCCCCGCGCGATCAGTTCTGACCCCTCTAGTCTCTTCTCTCTACTACTAGTGCGGCGGGACAGCGTGTCGCTTGGAGCGCCCGCGTTTTCCTTTTTTTTCGGTTTGTCTTGAAGCGTCCGCGTTTTCCGTTTCTTTTTTGTCTTTTTCAGTTTCTTTTTTTTATGGTTTTTTCTGTGTTTTTCTTCCGTACCTTCCGTTCTGTTTTTTTCTTTCCATATCTTTTTCTGTTTTTAATACTTATGTATGCAAACTTTATATACGTACAAAATATAAATTTTATATACATGTATTTTTAGGTTTTTATATGTACGTATACCAATTTTGTATACATGTATATAAAGTTTGTATACACACATATAAAGTTTGTATATGTGTATTATTTTAGGTTTTTATACCTACGTATACCAATTTTGTATACGCGTATATAAAGTTTATATACACATTTACAAAATTTATATACATGTATTTTTTTATATTTTTATACGTAGGTACAAATACAAACTTTGTATACGCGTATACAAACCTTGCATCCCGTACGTACACATATATAAACTTTGTATACATGTATGCAAAGTTTGTATACGTGTATACAAAGTTTGCATACGCTTATACAAACTTTGTATATGTACATATTAAAAACCGAGAGAAAAAACACAAATAAAAATGAAAATACAAAACTTAGTATACGTACGAATATAAACTTTGCATGCGTACATCTTTAAAAGAACCGAAAAAAAGAAGAGAAAAAAAAAGAAAAAAAAACCAAACAGAAAGATAACCGGAAAAAAAAAGAAAAGAAACCGAACAAAACCGAAAAAAACCAAAAGAGAACGAAAAAAGGGAAGAGAAACGGAAAAAAAAAAATCCCGCGTGGGTGCCGTCCGCTGCCCCCTCCGCGCGCGACACGTGTCCAGTCGCGCGGGGGAGGGCGCGCGTGACTGGTCGCCCATTAGCTTTTTCGGAACAAACATACGAGCGTACGTATGTACTGTGTCTGTACGTACTTCCTTTATGTTGTTACTTTGCTATTTTCTATTTGATGAGAAACTAAAATTAAAATTACTTTTACAGGAAAAAAAATCACAAAAGACATACTATTAGATCTAGCAGTTCTCCCTCCTAGGTCTAGCAGTTCTCCCTCCGTCGCTTTAAAGATTCTACGAAGGCTTCTAAATCACTACATGATGCTATTAAATTAGTGAAAGTACTAAAAATCTTAAAAAATATAAAGAAATTGATCATTGGTTTGTACTTAAATTAATGGATTAGATTTTTTAATAGAAAAATCCCAAACCTCTCTCCCTCCTTGATTTTTTTTAAAAAAGACTATTATATATTAAAAGTTCATTAAACATCCTACACATACTACTAAGCCGCTAAGTGGCACCATACAAACGCTCCTAGGTTTCTAAGTGGCACTCTAATCCGACCATCGAATTTTATTTAAATCGGTGGATCCATTATTTTATTTTAGAAGGTTAGATTTTTTTTTAAAAAAAAGCACACATCCGAAACCTCCCCATCACGTACGTATCAACGAGCTATATTCATGAGGAATTAAAATCAAAATTATTTTTACATTAAAAAACCATCATTAAAAAATACCTCCACCTATTAGGTCTAGCAACTCTCGCTCTGTCACTCTAAACATTCTATGAATGTTTCTAAGCTGTAACGTGGTGCTATTAAATTAAAGAGAAAATCTTAAAAAAAACAAAGGATTAGGTTATTGATTTGTTAGTTTTTCAATAAGAAAAAACCCAAACCTCTCAACCTCCTTCCCCACCGCCGTGTGATGTTAAAATCCATTAAACATCTTATAAGCTGCTATATGATGTTCTTAAATTAGAGAAAAATCTTAGAAATTTTGGAAAAAAAAAATCCAACCATCGGATTTGACATAAATCGATGGACACATTATTTTAGGTCATTAGATCCTTTTTTAAAGAACACCCTAAACCTCCTTTCCTCCCTCCGTCTTTGCGGCATATGGTATTAAAAAGTCTATTACACATCTTATAAATACTCTTAAGATGTTACATCGTTCTCTTAAATTAGAGAAAATCCTGATACAATAAAACAAAAAAACATCCGATTATCAGTTTCGACATAAACATCGGACGCATTATTTTAGGTTTTTAGATTAATCATTTAGAAAAACATTCCAAACCTCCCTCCCTCCCTGCTCGTGTATAGCGTGCCCTATTCTTTTATCTCTGTTTTTTATCTCCTTAACAATTAAAATTGAAATTATCTATATGGGAAAAAAACACAAATGGACCTCCATCTATTACTTATATCCCGTTAAGCATCTAACGACTTTCTACCAACTTAATTAATTTCTTAACATGCATATGAGGGCTACATACCTATACAAATTGACCTTGATACTTTTAAAATGATCTTTTTAGGAGATAAATAAATATTTTTAAGAAAGATGATCATAGCGTCTGAATTACACATATGATCTATGAAGTCACTAATCATAGCATGTATTCATCTAGCAATATATAGACAACATGTTAAAAATAAAGGTTTGGTTGGTTGAACATCATACCGATAAGCATGTGGGTTGCACCTAGGAATCTTAACAGTGGAACAACCTTGCAGTGGCCTTAGCAATAAAACAAGTAAGTTCCATATAGGAATTAAAGACCATGTCCATTTTTTTTATTTTTTTTTTGTTAAACTTGCTACAGTACATAGTACATTGTAAAGTCTTGACATAGAACAATCTAGAAACATTTATTTGTTATGTGACAGTCCACTTTAGTGATGATTTGCTAAATACACTATGACCATTACTTCAAGATTTCAAGAGAAAATTTAGAACGTATGCCTTTACCCCCTGCCAGGTTATATGCACTTATATTTTTGTCCCAAATTGTAAATATCAAATCATTTCAAGGATGATTCATAGAATGAAAATATC